AAGAGTTTTTGTAAAGGCTTCTCCGCCTTGCTGTGGGTGCAAAAGGAGAGTACCTAGTGGTATTAGTGCAATACTCATAGGGTGCCTCCCGAGAGTGGATATAGGTCTGGTTTTGATCGAACCACTATAAATCTGGTGTTCTTTACTTTTTCTCTTTTTATTTTGTTTATCATTTACAAGTTGTGGTTGAAAATCTTTTTCTAAAAAATTCACTAACAATTATGTTTTAATTTCCAAAGTTTAAAAAGGGGGTTCAAAATTTTTTAATTACTAATTCACCCCCCTCTTGGTTAGCTACTAGGACATAAGCTTAGGTTTAACAATTTTATTCATTGTGAATGAATCTCAACAAGTGGTATCAGAGCTTTATTTCAAAATTATAAGTTTAGACTACATTCTGATTAACGTAGATGGCTACATTTGGAAACAGAAACACTCCTTAGGGTTACTCTATTACTAGACCTCCACTGTTTGACAATATACCTTTTGATTTTTGGAAAACACGCATGTCTACTTTGTTACAGTTACTTGATTATCGTATGTGGATCATAGTCAAAGAAGGATATACAAAACCAACTAGACTAGTTGATGGAGTTAGAGTTAAAACACTTTTTGCAGACTAGACAGTAGAAGAATGTGACTTAGCACAACTAAACGCAAAATGCTTGAATAGTTTCTTTTGTGCTTTAAAATCGGAAGACTATATACAGGTTTCCACTTGCAAAAGTGGAAAGGACATATGGGATAGACTTTGTGTAACATATGAGGGGGCTAATGAGGTTAAATAATCTAGACTCAATATCTTGTTGCATGATTATGAATTATTTCGCATGAAACCTAATGAATCCATTTCTTACATGTACACAAGATTCATACAAATAATCACCTCTTTGCATGCACTTGGTAGGGAACTAACAAATGCTGAAATGGTTAATAAGATTCTTCGTTGTTTACTTACTAATTATGATGCTAAACTTACTGCAATTACAGAGTCTAAGGATTTTAACATTTATTCTATTTACAATCTTCTTGGTTCGCTTATTGCTTACGAGGAAGGAGTTAGCCAAAGAATGACTGATGCAAGTGAACCAAAGGGAGAAGAACATAGCACTAAATGTGGAAGAGTCTGAGAGTGAACACTCACAACCTGAGGATGAAGAAGACATCGCATTGATGACTAGATAATTTAGAAGCTTTCTGAAGAGGAAGCAGAAGAAACGCCAATAATGGAATAGAGATAAATTCAATAGAAATGACAAGGTTTCAAATGATGTTATTTGCTATGAGTGCAGGAAACCTGGACATATAAATACTGATTGCCCTAAAATCAAAGCTAATCCTAGCAAGGAGAAAGTAGAGGAGAAACCTACTGTAAAGAAGGGAAGAAAGAAGTTTTAAAAAGCTTTCTGGGCGGATTCAGCTTCAGATTCATCAGAGACTAAAAAAGAAGAGGAAGTCACTAATCTATGCGTAATGGCTGACAATCTTGATCAGTCAGATCAAGAAGAGGTATGTGACTTAACTTATGATGAACTTTTTGAAGTTTCTGAACACATGCATGATTCATATAGAAAAATGAAGAAAATGCATGCAAGACTTAGTTTAGAATTGGAAGAGCTTAAAAAAGAACATAAAATTCTTAGGAAAATCATGCTTTGATTGATAACAACTACATGAAATTACTTGATGAGTTTGATGACTTGAATAAAAATCATGAGAATTTAAAATCATCCTATGCGGAACTCGAGAAAGATTTTAAGAATTTTAAGAATGAATTTGAGAGCAAATTATATAAAATCAATTATTTAAATCAAATTTTGGAAGATATGAATTCATTTTACAAATTAAAGATAAAAGCTCTCGAGGATAATAGGATACCCCCCAGATTTGAAGATTTTACTATTCCTATTTTGTATCCTAAATTTATGTAATTTCTAAATAGACAGATAAATGGTAGAAGACATAGGAATCCATTTCCGAATGTCAAATGTAATAATTGTGGATTGCTTGGACATATAGCTCACACTTGTTCTTTGAAGATGAAAACTAATTTTGTGTGGAGACCTAAGATGCATAAACCTAGACATATCATACACCCATCTGATTATAAATTGCCAAAAGGAGTTTGGGTTCTCAGGTCCAACGTTTGATAGTTTTACGGGGTTGCTCTCACAGAAGACCTTGTGAGAGCATATGGTACCTAGACAGCGGATGTTCAAAGAATATGACTAGAGATACTGCTCAATTTATAACGCTGGAAGACAAGAATAAAAGCAAGGTTACACTTGGATATAACACCACACGGAAGGTGGTTGGATCAGGTATAATTAGAAATTTTAAGAATTTTTTCATTGATAATGTGTAATTGGTAGAAGGCTTAAAGCATAATTTGTTAAGTATAAGCCAGCTATTTGATAAGGGTTATTGTGTAAATTTTTTTCCTACTAGCTGCATATTAAGCCTAAATGATAAAGATGTTTTGAATGGAAAATGGGTAAACAATGTTTACATGCTAGATTTAAATTACATTAATTCTCCTACTATTTTTTATTTGAAAACTGTTTCTAACAAGTCATGGCTATGGCATAGGGGACTTTGTCATTCAAGCATGAAAAACCTTAGGAGGATTACCCAAAAGAACTTAGTGAGAGGTATATCTAAACTAGACTTTACTAAGGACCACCTTAGTGATGCATGTCAACTAGGAAAGCAACTGAAGTCCTCTTTTCAGTCCAATAAGGATCTTAGAACTAGTAAACCTTTAGAGATTTTGCATATGGATCTTTTTGGACCAGTTGAAACTATGAGTCTAGGAGGGAAGGTATACGGATTTGTGATTGTGGATGATTACTCAAGATTCACTTGGGTTAGATTTCTATTTCATAAGAGTGAATCATTTGAGGAATTTAGAAAATTTTCAACTTGGATTCAAAGAAAACTAGGGTGTGAAATTATTTCTATACAAAGTGATCATGGAGGAGAATTTAAGAATGAGAAATTTGATGAATTTTGGAAGGAAAAATGAATTGATCACAACTTTTCTACACTTAGAACCCCTCAGTAGAATGGGATAGTCGAAAGGAAAAATAGAACATTAATAGAAGCGGCTCAAACAATGTTGGCAGAATATTCACTTCCTAAAACTTTTTGGGCTGAGGCTGTTAGTACTGCATGTTATGTTCTTAATAGGGTGAATGTGAGATCTAAGTTAAATAAAACATCCTATGAGTTGCTAAAATGGAGAACACCTAATTTATCTTATTTGCATGTTTTTGGTTGCGAGGTGTTCATTCATAACAATGGAATATCTGCCTTAAAAAAATTTGATCCAAAATCAGATGAAGGAATTTTTCTTGGATACTCAAGTGTTGGAAAATCTTATAGAGTATTCAATATAAGAACTTTGGTAATTGAGGAGACCACACATATTGTATTTGATGAATATGAAAATATGGAAGAGCCAAATATTGTAGAAGATGAAATTGAGATTAACTCCCAAAAGATTGATAAATTGAACTTGGAAGAAAACTTGGAAGAAAATATGGAAGAAAATTTGGAGATAGAAAACCATTTGCCTAGAAATTTGAGATTTTCTCAACTTCATCATCTTCCTCCTGAATGTTATTATGCACATCTTAAGTTTGAACCACCCTATTCCCATTTCTTCTAGCCGTGCAAAGTTGTGGAAAACTTTTTAATTAATGTCTCCTTCTTCATGCCATCTAGCTTTTGCCCTTTGATTCCACAATGTAGCTAACCGATTTAAAGTTACATTAAGCTCATGCACTTTACTTCTAAGTAAAAGAAGGTCCTCATTAGTTCAATCTACACCCACAGCTTCTTTGTTTTGGAGTTCAAGAATATCCTTTTTCAGATCTTCCTTAAGAGTCCTCAGATTTTTGCACTTACTTTTGCTCCAAAAGAACAACGCTTTCAACGTTCTACTAGTTTCCTTTGAAGGATATCACTTTTATCACCAAAATCATTCTTCTTCCAAGAATGATATACAATGCTTCTAGCCGCTGGATAGGACCTCCACGTATCCTCAAATTTGATATTCTTCATCTTGGGACGCATCCTCTCATCCAATTTAAAATCAATTGGACTATGATCCGATGCCACTCTTGCTAGGTGCCTAGTAAGAGCTGAAGGAATTATTTGAAGAGAAACCGAGTTCACCAAACACCTGTCCAATCTTTCCCATATCCGAGAGGCTCCTTCTTTGTTGTTACACCAAGTACACCTTGTTCCAATGCTTCTTACATCATGAAAATCTGAATTTGTCATAAACTGTTTCATATCTCTCGGTCCTTTGGAAAATAGGAACCTCTTACCTCCTCTCTTCTCCTCCTTGTTCAAAATGCAGTTGAAATCCCCACCAATGATAGAAGGATTAGAATCCTTCATGCCCTCTTCAAGCTGTCTCCAAAGATCCTCCCTTTCTTTGCAACAACGACTTCTATACACTGTGGCAATCTTCTATGAACCCAAGCTTGGAATCAGTAGATCCCCCATAATCACTTGAGAAGAAGTATCCTTGACTACAAATGACACACTCTTCTTATCCCACAGCACCAGCATTCCACCTGAAAGATGAGCAGCTGGAACATGAAAAAATTCCCAATCATTCCCAATGAGGTAATCAACCTCCCTCCTACCAATATAAGACATCTTAGTCGCCAAGAGACCAATAAAACAAACATCCTGCTCTCTAACCATCTCCTTCAAATACAAGGCGACCTCCCTCTTCCTATCCCCCCTGCAATTCCAAAGTAAAAGAGTAGAAATTATATTTTTGCTGGGGATTCCTCCCCACACATGGAACTCACCCTTCCATCCCTTCTCTTCTTCTTATGTCCTGTTACAAGAGGTCCCAAAGATCTTAACTCTTTAGCAAGTTTAATCTTATTTTCCCCACATTGAGAACCCACATCAACATACATTAAATCTAAATCATTCAAATTCATCCCAGTATCTCCAGCCCCATCAGTCTCCCCAATCTAGTGAGTAAGCAAGTCCTTCGACTTATCAGCCTCCTCATTGTTATTCACGGGTTCTTCTCCAATATCATTAAGCAGGACATCAAATCTGCTACTAACAACAATCGACTGCATATTTTCTTTTACAGTTTTCTGCTGCCCATCCACTGCCTTCTTCTAATCAAGCATTTTATCAGACAGCATACCCGGAGCACTTACAGTATCCACATTCTTCATCTCAGCTGGGATTACTTTCTGCACAAAGTTAATCCCCATATTCTCCATCCTGTTATTCTTACGTTCATTCATACGTCCACCACCACCATTTTCCTTAACAAAGCATTTGGTTTTGAATTGTACAAGTATCCATGGGCCATATTCTGACTTGATCACACCAGGATTGGCTTCGGGAATTATCTTCCTAAATTCATCTGCCACAGGATTAATGGCCTGATCTGTAATCCCCTGAACAACCTCCTCAGGGCATTCAGCCTTATAATGTCCTACACGACCACAATGATAGCAAAACATATCCACCTTCTCACACTCCACCCGTTGAAAAAATCTGCCAACTGATCCCTCTATCCAAACTCCGTTCGATAGCTTCTTCTCTAGATCAATTTTGACACATACACGAGCAAATTCCCGCTTCCCTCGTCGAAAGGTATTCCCATCTATGTACATCGGCATCCCAAATTGAGATGTTATTCTCGCTATGTTATCTTCATCCCAGCAGTATAGTGGTAAACAGGGGAATCGGATCCAAATGGGAGCAGAGATCCCCTTGAAGGAGTAAGGATCAAATGCAGAAGTCCATCGATCCATTCCAACAATGTAGCCACCAACAAACCACGGTCCACCATTGAGAATTTCCTCCACGGCCTCCTCCGTCCTGAACAAACAAAGGATCCAATTCATGCCAATTGACGTTATGTGGAATCCTCCATACTTGCTATACTGTTTCCTCAATTCCATACTACACACAGGGAATGGCACATTATTACCCAAAACTTTAATCACAACAAAATGCCTCAAGACGTGCTTATTTTTCAACTCCATCTCCAAATTTAACTTAACAGCGACCCCATCTTTCGATAATTCAACTTTCTCTCTATTCCAGTCGATCTTGATTTGCTTCGGCTTTGTCTAGGCATTAACAACCTCATTTAAACTTTCTTGTTTATTGGTATCCTCCATCACCATTCCGTCGATAGTCGAATCCATTCCAGAGTTTTTAACAGAACCAAGAGTAATATCCTGTTCCTAACCATTCATAATTTTCAGATCATAATCCGTACACCGATCCTCATTCATCCCAGAAGTTTCAGAAAATTTACAACCCTTCAAAAATTCAACACCCGATTTCATAGAATCAAGATTTAATGTACCTGGCATCAAAAGCTCCCCATTCTTCATAACCGCTCCATCTTCCACAATCGCCTTCTTGCCCTTGCCTTCAACCACAAGTTGACGAGGCGGAAGTCTCTTAGTCTTATGTACAAACTGACATCGTATAATACAAAAAGTTTAATACTGAATAAGTTAGTCTTATATAATTTTCTATGAACCCATTTTGTATAATGTGAATCTTCTATACAAACCCAATATTATATATTATAAATTATTTAAACTAACACATGAAATCACAAGAATTATCTCAACAACAAGTACAAAATCTCAACAGCATGTAAAATAAAAGAAGTAACAACTAAAATCCTAAGGGACCTTGGTCTGAGTGTGGTTGAGGAGTAAACATTATAAAGTAGCTATTTATCATAGCTACTTGCATATTAATATAATTAAATTAGCTTCAAATCTATTCCATATCTTCGATGTACCTTGCATCATTTTGGTTTAGGTGATTCTCAATTAGATCAAAACATTGATCAAAATGAGATTTCAGTCTGTCAAAATGCTAGACAAATTTTTCATAGAAAATCTGTTTGGGTTTAAGTGCAGGGGAAAATACTGTAGCAAGGGCTCCTTCTTCTCCCTCTGAATCTTATCCCTCAAATCGGTAGAACATGAATTGGATATGCTGGACTGGAAATGGACAAAGAAACTGAAACTCAGATCACAGGTTGATCTATTTTGGTGGAGAATTTGTAGCAATACTCTACCTTCTAATAGTCTTCTCCATCATAGAGGTATAATTGTTGATAAAGATTGTCCAAGACATTGTCAAGCTATAGAAGACATGGAACATATTGCAGTTAGATGCAAAATTATCAAAGAAATTTGTAAGAAGTTGAATAATTGTAATTTTTATCCGCCTTCTTTTAATTCTTTAGATGACTGTCTTAAAGCTTTAAAGAATTATTCGGAGAAGAACCCTCTAATGGGTAATCTGAATTGTTCAATGATCTATTTCGGTTGGAAAAGTAGAAATAAAATTTCTCATGGTGGCAATGAAGATACCGTCTCTTTCTTAGCTGCTAATGCTTTGGATTATGCATTTGGCTCATTCCGTCATAATACAGTTTGGGATAACTGGGGAGCTAATCAGCACCTATCTGTGCTGGAATTGAATGCTTGGCTTCCTCCACCTCCCGGCTGGATCAAATGCAACGTGGACGCTGCTTTATCTAGTAATTATGCTACTGGTATTGGTGGTGTATTCAGGGATGAATATGGAAGATTTTATGGAGCTTTTGGTTACAATATCAATTACTGGGACATAGCTCAAGTGGAAGTTCTCTCTATTCTATCTTTTAGAAGATATGTCCAAGATTGGATGCTTGATGCTAAAGGTATTATTATTGAAGGTGATAATCATAATGTTATCTTATTATTTCAAAGGGTTCTTCATAATAAGTCTATTTCTGAAGAATTTCTAAACCCAAAGGATTTAGATTTTCTTAAAGACTTTAAACAAGTAGTTTTTTCTTTTATTAGAAGAGAATGTAATAAGTTAGCCGATGAGTGTGCTAACCTTGCTATTACTTCAGATTTCTTTTGGAAAGATCTGAATGATAGTGATATTCCTCCTTCATTTATTAATGTTTTGAAGAAGGAATTTATTGGTACATAGTTGATTTAATAAAATTTGCTCTATTCATTTTCTCAAAAAAAATAAATACTTGATCACTACCAAAAAGTGCATAAAAAGAGGCATAGGTAAAGTAAATAGAAAGTTGAGTGGGAGGATTAGGATGGTTTAGATTGTACTTCTTTTTTAAAATATTAGAAACTAAGTGTCATAAGGACACATTTTTCTTCCTCCTATTATGATGAAGTCCAATATCTAAAAGTTTATATATGTAGTCCATGAATAGTTTGGCTTCATCAATAGGAGTGTTGTTCATTATAAGGTATGTGATAGTAGATAAAAGAGGTGTCAAATTTATATAATCACTATCCTTGGGAATAACAGAAGTTCTCAAGACATGTTGGATTATACTGGCATTTTGGATAAGGGTATACACATGAGAAAGATGGTTTACCTATGCAACACCTCGAAGAGTTTTGTTAATTTCAGACTAATCAAAATCTTTTCTAGAGGTCATGATGTGTGATCTAACTCTATGGGTTCTATGATGAAGGAAGTTTCTGGAATCTTCCTTAGTTAGTTCAACTGACTACTTAAAGACATAAGATATAATCCTAGAGTAATCTTGGTTCACTTTCATGTTTGCAAGAAAATTTTGGAAAGTTTCTTGATGATAGACATAGATCAAGGTGAGGATAAAAGAAAATTGAGTCATGGCAAAAGGAGGCATAACAGAGAAGTTTATGTCACTTTGAATAAGGTGATGAGATGGACTAATCTTGGATCCAAAAGAAAATTTGTAGGGTTCCTTATTTTCCTTAGAAAGAAAGTTCTTGACTCTACCAGAGCGAGAGGATGAGCCCTTGGAAGTATGTGGATGTTTTCTACTGCTGGCCATTCCTAAAGCTTAGACTCGAGATGGTTTAAGATCAAAACGGATTGTGAAGAAAAAATCATCCTTGACCTTTCAATTTAAAGAAAAATAATCTATCATATAGTAAAAATTTTGATTATACGTATGATTTTAAAATCATACTGGATGAAAAACATTTCGTACATATGAATAAAAAGGGCAAAAAATAAAATGACTTTTCATAAACTGTCATTCCTTATGTATCATTTTGTATAAACTTTTTTATCATATGATCGTAAAGATGAACACCTATTTGTCTGAGATGATTAAAATATTAAAGACCATTTTTGATGGTTAGGTTCATCCACATGAAAAATAGACTACAAGATCATACAAATGTAATATGATTTCATACATACGATCTATGACCAATAACTGACTTTTGAAAAACTATTACCAATCGTACAGATGAATAATCAATGATCATATAAACAATGATGACATCATAAACCATGATATGCATTAAAAATTTCATTCTCGCATGCTCAACTCCAAAAAAACCATATACATGCTATAGAATTCATACATTATGAAAATGTTCGTACAATAGGAAAGAAAAACACACTCTGGACATGATAAATAAAGACTCTATTAAAACACAGTTCACACTAGATCTATGACAAGTAACACTGTAATCAAAATTAAAACTAAATAATAACATAATAAAATAAACAAAAACTAAGGAAACAAAAATACACAAACAAATAAATTAAGAAACAAACAAATACATCAATGCATTATAATTCCTATTAGTAAAATTTCAATTTTAATCATTATGATCAATAACACGTAATCTAGTACTTAAAGTGCAAAATGTTTCAAAAGCCAGAGGTTTTATAAAAATATCTACAAGTTGATTCTCAATAGCACCATGATGTAATTTAATATCTCCTTCACCAACACGATCTCTAATAAAGTGATGCTTTATATCAATATGCTTGGTTTTGAGATGTTGAATAGGATTCTTTGAAATTCATGTGGCACTTTATTACAAAAAATTTAAATAATGCCAACTGAAAATCCTAAGTCAATAAGTTGTTTTTTTAAGCCAAGAACATGTGCCACACAATTACCTAATGAAATGTAATCTACTTTAGCATTAGAAAGTGCTACTGAATTCTATTTTCTGCCAGAATAAAAAACTGAAGTGTTTTATATGAATTAACAAATTTTAGAAGTACTTTTTCAATAAACTCTACATCTTATAAAATTTTAATCAAAATAGCTAATTATCTCAAAAGAAGAGTTATGCTTAGAATACTAAATCCCTAAGTTTTGAGTTCCCAAAAGATATCTCAGAATTCTCTTAATATCAGTCAGGTATGATTCTATTAAAATAGCTTAAAATATAGCATACAAACAAATACTAAATATGATATCTTATCTTTTAGCATGAAAATAAAGAAATGATCCAATTATTCCTCTAATTTTATTTTATTCAATAGATTTTCCCTTAGAGTACTTATCTAACTGTACTAAAGACCTCATTGGTTTATTCACTAGTTTAGCATTATCCATTTCATATTTCTTAAGGATGTCCGTAATATACTTATATTATCTAAGAAATGATCCTTCCATATTTTGTACTATGCTAAAAGAAAGAAAGTAACTTAAGTCTCCCATCAATCTCATTTCAAATTCACTACTCAGTATTTAAAAAAAAATCATCACAAATACTTTTATTGGTGGATCCAAACAAGATATCATCAATATATATTTGAACTATGATTATGTTATTTTTTTAAGAAGAGAGTTGTGTCCACACTTCCTTTAACAAATGATCTTTCTAAAAGGAAAGTGTTTAACCACTCATACCAAGCCCTAGGTACCTATTGTCATACATATAATGCCTTTCTAAATTTAAACACAAGATTTGGGAATTTTGATTTTTTAAAACTTGAAGGTTGCTCAACCCTTAATATCTTCCTGTATCACCCCATTAATAAAGGCACTCTTAACATCCATTTGAATCAATTTAAAACCTTTAAAATATGCAAAGGCTAGTAACACCCTTATCACTTCAAATCTGGCTACAAGGGAAAAAGTTTCTTTAAAATCAATTCTTTCTATTTGATTATACCAAATAGCCACCAATCTTGCCTTGCTTCTAATCACAACACCCAAATCATTCATTTTATTTTTGAACACTTACTTAGT